TCTGATAGAGATTTAAAAAATAGCCCTGTTACCTTTAGGTGATACTTTAATAATGGTTGAGGACAAAGCCATGAGGGGTCCTTGAATGGAGGCATACTCCTTGATTAGCCTTTCAGTACAGTTTGCTGTGTCTGCCTGCTTCTCATTAGGAGAGCGTTCAACCAATCACTGATAAGGGCTTTCATCGGTTTTGATGAGCAGCCTCCGTCTGCTGTTGAAATTGTGTACAACAGAGAAAATGAGGTTATGTAAAGAAATAGACAAGCCTGAATCTGCCTGCCATAGATTCAAATCAGACCATTTCCGAGGTATTAAACATACCTAAAGGGACTTGGTTTTGTACGATCAACCGTTTTAAACACTTATATATTCAGTTTACAGTTTAAAGAGATAGAAAAACAGCATTTCCTTACATTTAAAAAGCTGCCTTCTGAAAAATGCTGGAATCATTGCTTACAAAATATTTAAATGATTAATTGATTATCAAGATAAATAAAATATAATAATAATCAATTGACTAATGAATTAATAATTTTAAATGTAACCCTCATAGGAAATATAACAGGAACAATTTAGTATTAATGAGACACAAACAAATACAGCTGAAAATAGGAATACTTTTCACGAGCTATTGCATTTTTTTTTCTGGTAGGTACAAAAACTCTTAGTGGGACAATACACACGGTGAGAAATCACACCAACACAGGAATATCGATGGAGCAGTCCATCAAGAATCTGGTGAAATAATCTTAATGAGAATAATCCCTTTCTCTAAAGCGCCATTAAAACGTGTGCATGCATGCATACACACACACACACACACACACACACACACACACACACACACACACACACACACACACACACACACACACACACACACACACACACACACACACACACACACACACACACACACACACACACACACACACACACACACACACACACACACACACACACACACACACACACACACACACACACACACACACACACACACACACACACACACACACACACACACACACACACACACACACACACACACACACACACACACACACACACACACACACACACACACACACACACACACACACACACACACACCACAACACACACACACACACACACACACACACACACACACACACACACACACACACACACACACACACACCACACACACACACACACACACACACACACACACACACACACACACAAATAGTAAAACCAGAGAAAGTGATAATGCTGCAGTGGTCTCTTTATATTTCCCAGAGCTGTATCTTCAAACCTTATTTCCCTTCTTATATCAAAAGGAGTACACAAACACATAAAATCAATAGTGCAGTGCACAGGGAATGAAAGCTGAACACCTCATGACAGAACTGCTTGTTCATGTTCCAGCGAGCAGAATGCAACTAAAGCGCTTGGGAATTGAATCTTTGGAACAAGAAAATTGTCTGAAATGACATAACACAAGCCTTTGCAAAGCCACGCAGCGTTGTGTGGTCTTCTCATTGTGGTGTTGCAAGGCTGTTGGATGAAACTGCCCAAGGAAGACCTTTCATGCGGGGAACAGAGAAAGATGTCTGACAGTTTCACCTCTACTGTGTCCTGCGGCTCATGATTGTGTCCTGTTTTACTTTCTTTTGAGCTGACACACAACACATAGTGGAATGCCCCAAGTGACAGAACAGATGTTTGCTGGGACAGCAGGCTGTAATTGGTGTGTGACCGTTCATACTAATCTCAAAACTAACCAGGAAATCCAGTTTCCCCCCCTTTTTTCCTCCATAAGCCGTCCTGTCTGCTCCTGTGTCTGTGGATTCAACTCTGAAAAACTGCCAAGTTCTGCTAAAGCTGAAACATTATCAACATATTTCTTTTAGAAAAAACAAGGCTTTGTGGCCAGCTTTGGTGTTTGGAGAATGTTAGTCCAGCTATATTCAAACATTACATCGTGATCCAGCCAATGACATACTTATCTTGATATTTTATTTGGCTTTCCTTTCTATTGATAAGGATCTACTTTTCAATACAATGATTATACGTTTTGTATACTTTATTGCAAAAGAATCTGTCAAAACGTATTAAATAGTGGTTAAACATAAATGCCTTGTTTTTGTAAAGTGAAAAATAAATGAGTGATTTCCTATTGCATTGAGCTTGTTAATCCCTTATTTGATCAACAACAAATGTGCAATTATTGAAATAGTGTTTTCTTAAGATTTCTGTTTATTTAAATGTCTGGCTTAAACTTGTGAGGGTCTGCTGTTGATCGAACAAAACAAGAGATTGAGGATGTCGCCTGGGAATGACATATATATGCAACTAATATAAAACAAGCAACTGATTATTTGGATTAATGAACAGATTTAATAACGGACGAGTTGATAACAGATGTATTTATGATTAGGATAATTATAAGTTACAGCCTTAGTCATTTATGTGTCTCTTTTTTGCCAAAATGATATGAAATGATCATGAATGTTTTCTTTCCGTGATTGTATGGCTATTATACATGTCGCTGCTTGTTATGGGGAGCCTTGTAAAAGTTCACCCTTAACATAATAGTCTTCTACAAAAGAGAATAAAAGACACTGGAGCCCTGCCTGCAAACCAGAGACAAAAATACACACCTCCCCCTGCCTTTCATCTACAGCTGGTTTGGAGGGAATGTCTTGGAATTTGGTAAGAAAAGGCTAACTTCCTGGCATCGTAGTTAGCTACAATCAAAGCAAATCCATGTAGTATTATCTGATGAGATAGTAAAGATAATAACAGGAATGGAAGGTGACAGAATTCAGTTATAGTTTGTTCAAATGAAGTTTCCTTTCAAATTCCCCTCACCTCTCCCACACGTATTATTTAGCTTAATTATTCACCACACCAGGAAAGAGTGAGTTCAGATCCGGAGCATTGTGTAACAAAGAGGAAAGCATGCATCTGAAACAGTTACAGTAAGATGTGGCTGTAAATGTAATGCTTCCTGATATGATTTATCTGTTTTATGATCATCAAAGATTTCAGGATTGAGCTGTGAAAGATGAACCATCCATTGAAAGGAAAACTTTGCCTTTACTGTTGACAGCATGCAAATCAGAACTAAGGCACGATGCAACTTAAAATACATTTAAAAAAAGATTAGACTAAGTTTGATATGGCCATCTCATTATCTTTGGTATCTGCCTGCATGAAATCATCCCTCAGACAGACCTGTGTAAAATGTCATGTGTGTTTCGTCAACACAGCATACCTCCAGCATTTCCTGAGGTGTTTTTTTAAACAAATGGTACAGGAAATGCTGCGGGGCAAAAAACAGGCTTTTTTTGTTTTTACTTGAATTCTGATTGGCTGCAGGAGTGAGACAACCAACCAACGCGGATACAAAACCATTTCATTGCTGAAAAGGCTTTTTCCCCTCCCTTTTATAAAGGGCCAGATAGTTTACCACACACAGGTCCCCTGGCTGAGAGCCTTTCTCATGGTAATTGTGGGAGCTGGAAACAGAGTGCCGAGCCAAAACACCCACTGCATGTTGAACAGTGCACAATTGTAGTGACAATAGTCCATAGGCAGAGTTCATAGGCTGTAGCTGGACTGGGAGGAATAAACAGACTTTAATATGGCCTACTGTAGGTGGAAAGCATAGACCTGATGGATATTAGACATTGTGCCAGTAATTATACTGTATTGTTCATTCAATACTGTCTGTAACACATGCATACAACATCTCTGACACATTCCTGAAGGGGCTTATAGTGTATCCACGGAGCCATGATGGTTACCCACAGCCATTCTATAAAAATGTTCGTTATGTATACTATTTTAAGTATCCTCTATTTTGTGGCAGGATGACTGTATTTCTCCTAAGTAAGGACATACATAAGTTGCCATTGTATCAGGTCAAATTCGCTGAAAGCAATGAAGAATAACACTAGGAAAGCAACCAATGATTTGTTCAGGATGGAAAAAAGTTGACAATGTCCAAGGTGATCCCATTTTATCAGTATCAAATCCCAACATATTCAGTTTACTAAAAACAGAGAAAGAAAGAAATGTCCACATTTTAGATGCTGAAACAGCATTTCTGCCATTGAGAATAAATAAAATACTAAAATGAGGTTGAACTACAGAGTGATAGGTCAACTGTTTCTACAGTGTGGTATTGCTATTCTTACTGAACTTCTTCCTGTTGTACTACACTGTATCAGTTAAGCTAGGTGTACACAGGGGACAAAATTAGCACATTTAACAGCCATACGGTATGTTGGTAAAATATGCACGTGGCTAGTTGATTTGCATCACAATCGAGCCAAAAAAACCAAGCATCATCTATTGAGAGACTGTATGCAAAAATGTGAACATTCAGTAGGCATTTGGCCAGAGGAGAAAAAAGTTAATTTTGTCGCAACCTTTTTATCTAGCAACTGCATTTATTTTTTACTGAACCTTCATCCACAGAACACGTCTCACATCTGATGGTAAGCTTCTGCATTCAATAAAAGTGCTAGAAACCGTAGCTCTCAGGGGTCGTGAGGTTACAGTCCACAAATGAAAGCTCAGATGGAGTGTTCCCGGTAATAACAAGCAGGAGAAAAGGCTCTGTTGCACTGATTTGAGGAACGTTGCTCCCTGCCGCGATTTGTGAATAACAACAACACAGTCAGCTGCTCTTGATGTAGGTCAGATGGAAAACAAACTCTAAACCTGAAGGCACCACAGTAATAAGCCAGTGCCAGGGCCACATCTACCACTAGCGCGGAGATGCAGGTGCCTAAACTTGCTGTCGGTGTGTTTTCCACACACACCACCGTGGGAACATGACCGCACATAGCGTGGTTGTTGAGGGCAGTAGTTCAGGGTTACACATAATAAACCCCTTCCATCCTGGTGTTCAAACACAACGCCTAGCATTAGCATTGTGGACAAACTAATTAACTGGCAAGAGACGGGGATGTTAGCAAAACTTAGTAAAAAAAACGACTTACTGTGATGGTAACTTCGTGCTTTTTCAATCGATACTTCAGGCTCTTCATCTTGCAAGGTGATGGTGGTGGATATTAAAAGTTTCCTTTGGTGGATAAATTCATAAATAGTATAAAAAACGTCCAAGAAAGTTCATGCGAAGTTAGTTTTATCTGTCTGTTCTTCCTCCCAGAGCGAGTTTCACCTGACGCCTAACCTCAAACTCTGCTTGCACTTTGACTGACAACTCCAGGAGCCAATCAGACTGCAGCATGAACCGTTTTTGTGCTTTTGATCCAATTGCCGTTGCTGGAGGGCGGGACTTCCGTGTAAAGTGTCATTGGGAGAAGTTGGAGACATCCTGGGACAGGGCAGGAAAAACCTGGAATGACGTCAGGCGTACCTGAAGAAAGCGAAACACCTGGAAATAAAGTACCTGTCAACCTGTCAACCACTCGTCACCACTAATGGTTATTTACAGTAAACATCTCAACAAAAAAACGGTTTACATAACTGTCTACTAACCTGAATCTTACTCCTACAGCTAACAATATTATTAACTGCACAGTGTGTCTCTAAAAACTGTACAAAACTGTTTTATAAATACCTGCCTGTTGAATGATAATGTAGCGTACTGTATTAGCCTTGTAGTCATACACCTTGCAAGTGTTAACACAATAAAAGATTTAAGGAGAAAATATTATTTATATATACCAAAACCACATTGTCACAATAACCTTTTGCAAGTAAGTGTTCCAAATCTTACTTAAATAGATCAAAAGCATAAGCATCAACATATGAGTCCTTAATATTTATCAGGGAGCAGACTTATGTATCCACTATTACCAATTTGATTAGATTAACTCAATGGAATGTGTCTGTCCTATCTGCATTTTCGTACATGATATAACCAGTTGTATCTATTTGCATCTTAAACATCAGATACATCTATATACTTAACTACACAAACAGTATTGTAAGTAATCTGATAATAAGCTTCATTCATCTATATTGACTGCTTTAAAGAAAACATCTGTATGTCAATATCTCAAAAGTATTTACTTCCTAAAAAACATTGGACTATATTTGTTTTCATGAAACATCAAGGAAGACAACTATATATATTTGAGATAAAGTTAAGAGGAAGTGTTACGAATAGTGAGACTATTGTATGTTATACATCGATATAATATAACACAGGATGGATGAGATTCTGATATAACAGATAACAAGCTTGAGCTAGTATCAGTACAGATGATGTCACTTCAACCATTTATGTAAGAGTCTTTATAAGCATTTAAAGTATTTATGCCAAAGGCTTTTTTTAGACTTCAGAAAGAATGAAAATATATTTGTTTGGTTTAAGCTTATTTATTACCTTCGGCAAACTTTTGTCACATCTCAAAATATTTAACAGAGACATTTAAGGGAGCAAATCACATCAGCTTAAATGTCTGAGTTTAGAATAGCTGATGGTTTCAGTAATATATTGAGTTAAGATATATAAATGCTGGAACACCAACAGTAAAATATCCTTATACCTTGTTTTCATTCCCATATTAGTTGTATGCTTAATGCCCTGATATGTTAATATAAATATATAAGTTAAACTGTCACCATCTGTATGGCTTACAATGGAGTACATGACACCCACTTGAACTGCGAAGTACTGACAGATGCAGCTATTTTTCAGATTTCAACTTTTCTTACCCTTCCTGTTTAGTGAAAACAATGAATCTTTGTTATTTACTGAAATATTAAGTGTTCCCTTTCTATGGAAACAATTCTCCTACTTGGGCTTGATAAACTATTTAGAAACCCTCTTGGATCAGCTGGAAAATGCTTTATCACAAAGCTGATAATAGGGTGTAATAGTGTATTTATAGACTTTTGTCACTAACAGTGATGCTAAAACCAAATAATGATCGTATTGGATCTATTCCTGTTGCTTAAACTACTATATAATAGTTGGATTAGCACAAACTCAAACATATACAGTAGTCAAATGTAACATAAACATTAATACATGAGTAATATTAATCTAAAAACATCATATATAACAGACAGCTAGGGTCCATTTTACTGCACATTGAGTTGTGATACTTTAAAGGGGGAAATGCACTTTTGTACGTCTTTTATACATGAATATGTGTCCCCGGTGTTCCAGGGAACTCACCAAGTGTCAGAAAACACAACCCTCTCTATTTTCCTCCATACCCAAATCTCTAAAAAAGGGGCTGCAACGGATCTGATAAAAACTGATCCAGATTCGAACACTGTCCTGACGTCAGGACGGTGGCGCCACCAATCAGGAGGAGACAGCCACGGCCATTGCCGTCGAAAGCGCTGGAGACGCTGTAGTACATATGCCAGGCCTGTAAGTGGCGCTGTAGTCTGCCACAAAAGCAGCGAAGAAGACTTCCCGCCCATAGTTACCATGGTTACCCTTCTGTTTATTCTCCGCTGTGGCTTTTTTTCTCCCTCCCCGAGGCAAGCGTTTGCTCCCGCTGCAATGCAATCCCTCCCCGTCGAGGCAAGCACTGTAATTCTCTCCGGTTAGTCCACCTGCAGATGACAAACACCCACCTCTCCGCCTCTTCCAAGGAACGAGGGGACCGTGCGGCAGAGTTTCAGTTTCAGTTTGTTTCGCCGGTCAAGATGTCCGTTAAAGTTTAAAACTTCCGGACAAAATTAGAAAAGTGCCGGTCAAAGGTCTTCTTTGTTATTTATTGAGCTTTAAAACAAATGAATAACGACTCTATATAATAAAACACGGAGATCTCTTTTTCTCCCCCTCTTCTGACAGCCCAGCAGCTGATCAGAGCACGTCTCCCCTCTCCTGCAGGGGGGCGTGGTCAGCAGAATCAGACCCGTAGACAGCAAACAGCACATAGAGCGAAATGAGGCATGGCTAAAATGCATGATCTGTTTGGTATTTTGAAAACAGAAACGTATAAATATACCTTATATAGTTATGGCCCTACAATATATCATTTAAATATAGCATGATAGGTCCACTTTAAGTTAATGTAGACAATAATACTTGCATACTTTTACTGAAGTAAGGATATGATTGCAGTACTTTAACTTGTAGCCGAGTATTTTCCAGTGTGCTTTTTGTACTTTTACTTAAGTAAAGGATCTGATCACATAATTAACACTCCAGAGGAAGCAAGGTTGACATCGGTTTTTGGAGAATCAATCAAAAGGCGGGGAAGATGCTGCCCCTTTGTGGCTAGCTAGATCTATAACTGACACACACAATGGGCCCTAAAGCCATCAGCCAATGACTCAATAAACAGTTAATTAAAAAAGTTTGTAAACTAGCAAAATGTAAACAATAAAATTCAACATGAGTCAGAATAAACATGATGCTTAAATCATCAAATGCCCTGGATTCATCAATACAATGCAGCAACACACATTTAATTGTATTATGCGGCAGTTCTGACTTTGAGGAAGTACATGGCATAAATGTGCCTCTTTCATTGTCTTTGTGTCCATGACAACAATGTTACCATGGAGACATCACTGCCATTACTGTTCCCTCCGTTTATGGCTAGAGACGACTCTACAGACCTCACTCCTCACAATGAGTGGGAGGAGGAGTTCAGACCCTCTAGCACGTATACACATTGGTGGGACGTAACTAAGTACAACTCAACTGCTGCACTTAGGTTTTATTTTGAGGTACTTGTACTTTAGTTAAATATGACCATTTTGTGCTACTTTATACTTCACACTTCATCTCAGAGGCAAATACTGCTCCATTACATTTCTTTTGTGTTACTTGGTAACTTTGCACAATCAGATAACACAAAATATAATTCAATTGTAGTATTATAGATTTAGATCAATCTTTATTGATCCCCAGGGGGAAACTCAAAAGCTTCCTAGCAATAAAGTTGTTTAATTTAACTCAACAATTGAAACTGAAACGTATCACTAATTAGTACTTCATGTATATTCTTGCGCTATTTTGTACTCAAGTTAACTCTTGAATTAAATACTTTTAATTGTTAGTTTATTTCTACACTTCTTATAAAGCAATACAACTAGCGATTATTTTCATTATGGGGTATGTAGCTTCCTCTATGTGGAATCTTTTACAGCTGTCTTTCTCAGAGAATTCAACACATGTACAGTATGTGTTAACGGAATTTCCATCTAGGTATTTTGTGATCCGTCAGGTGTTATCTGTAACTCACTGCCAGTAATGCCTGTCTTAGGGCCCCTTCAGGAAAGTCCTAAAATAAACTAAAAACTATTTTTTAGAATTGCAACAGAATTCTGGAGTTCTCCCCATTTCCAGTCTCTTAAATTAAAATAAAACAAATTGTTCAAAATACTGAGATTTGTCCTAATTACAGCCCCTTCATATGGCACAATGGCATTTTTTAACAGATCTGCATACAAGTTGGTTATTTTTAGCAATATGAAACTAGTAAGTACCGTATAATGCCATTTTGAGCCCTGCATTATCTGTGATGACACCAAATGATTTAGAAGATATCAAGAAAAAAACACAGTAAACAAAGTTTATATTGGGAAGTAACTTTTTTTTTAACAAATTGATACAAATCCACAAAATACAAAAACATCAACTGCTGAGTGCTGACCGTGTTGTCCGGCATTAATTTGCACCTTATGTGACAGAAGGAACACTAATAAATACATGCAACAGTAACTATCTATCCGGTGAAATGCACAAAACACCAAAGAGCTGCTTGTGGAAAGGGTAACTTATCGACAGAAAATGTAAATGTTCTTGTGTCTTTTTAAAGAGGTGAGAGAAAAAGGACAAGGTGAGAGAAAAGAGGAGACATTTTATTAACAAAAAGAGGTTTCCTACGTTTTTTTCCGACTTCCTCAGTGTGACAAGCTCCTGAGACCTTTGTGCAGGAGGCAATTCAGTTCATGAAAAAAAAATGTCATCCAAGCGTGACCTCAAAAGGTAGTAATGGTTATTTTACATGTGGTGTGATAGAGGAGTGTCTTCAGGAGCGCAGTGTGCCGAGAGCTTTCACACAGCCTTGCGGTGGTACTCTGGGGGAGCGACCTCGTAATCTGTGGCACTCAGGAGGGTGGACGAATTCTTTACCAGATACCTGTAGAAAAATGTAAATTATTAGAGTGCTATAGAAATGTTTGAAAAAAGCTAACTGTCACCATTTCCTTGGCTATGCCTCCATAGGGAATTTTTACAACAGGCTTTCAAAGAATAAAATAAATATCATTCCATCCTCTATTTTGGCAAGTTAGGAGTCCCTATAAGAGTCGTGTCCTGTTATGCATTATGTAAGGATAAACAGGAGATGTGAAAATATAAGAGAGCGCTCTTCACAGATCAAACTGAATCAGTTTGCAGGACTTATCCACTTGGGAGTGTTAGACAACGACAGATAAGAAAGAAACTCAGCCTACTTCAATAAAATACAAGCAAGTGTTTTGTTTTCAAATGCATTAAAAAACCTGTAAAAAAAAAACTTCCAATAACTTTACTGTGGTTAGGTGTGGGAGGTTTGACATTTATACTTCAAGACTAAACCTTGAGTGTTTGCATCAGTAAATGTACACGTTCTAGGAGATTTCTTATGAAGTCTGGCAGCTCTATAGCTCAGTGTATAGGTGACAACAATGAAAACAGCTAAATATATCTGCGAGATGAAAAGTCACATGTTTTCTGCACTGATAGTCACACTGAAGTAACACAAATCTCTAATGGTGTTTGTTATCCCTTCTTTTATACAGCTAATGTGTTGCCTCTCTTTCAAATATGAGTGCAAAGTCACGCTCTCATACACAGAAGTTTAATTGTTGAAGAAATAAAAGGCCTTCAACCTTACTTGAGGAAATCTTGGAGGTAACTGAGGAGCAGAGCCAGACTCTTCTCGTCCAGCGGAGTGTAGGCCAGCATGGATCCGATCCGCACTGTGGGGGGGGGGGTAACATACAGTAAGTGAGGAACAACGCAGAAGGCAACTGCAGGCTGAAGATGAAATAGGACTGATGTTGTGAATGTAAAATTGCTTCATAAAAATAAGGACCAATCCAGAATTTAATTTTTTTTTTTTACTATTTCAAACAACTGAGGCAACCGATTATTATTATTTCTGCAGGAATGAGTCCTAAAACCTGTGTGTCTTTAAGAGATTTTCGAGTTTTGTCTTACAACAAAAAACATACCCAAGAAGACTATACAGGTTGCCATGGACACGCCATCACGCAGAAACGAAAATCATCAACTCAGAGGGGGGGGGACATTAAAAATCATGATTGCTTGCCAGAATTTATTCTCAGCAATACTCAAAATCCAAATAAAAAACATTGCTTTTCCTCAAGGTGACAATGGCAATTCTCATTTCCAGGTCTGCCTACAAAAATATGTCAATCCTGCAGCTCTTTATGCTGCCATAACAATGTAGACCAGCTGTTTTAAGATAACAGGTGTTTCTTTTGCTTTATCAGAAAACAAGCACGAGTTAGAGATAGCTAGAATCCACATTTCTCTCAACTAGTAAATGCAATTTGACGCTGTATAAGCTTTGTGTACGTTTAAAATGCTAATACTAAATAAGGGTCAAAGGAAATTATGATAATAATATCCTCTACCGCAGACCTTTGGAGTGTTTGCCATACTGAATGTAGTATGATTCCTTTGTTGAATTATTTTTAGAAATCTGAAAAATACACAGATTGCTTCACTTGTGAATGTGTGTCAGTGAAGCAGTTGATTTACACCAGTGATCAAAGAGATGACTAATTTTAAGAGTTACGTTTACTTACTAAAAGATGACTGCAATTATCATTAAGAACACCCACAAATGTCACACTGAACAGCTGACATGATTATTATTATTATTATGGTGTATATTATTTCTAAACAGTAAAGAGCAGAAATAACTGTGTGAATGCAGTATTTACGCAGCCTTCTTTATAGTGCTATACAACTGTGTTATTTTTTTAAACTGTGGGTAGCTTGGTTGAGGATTAATTTGCTGTTTCCACAGTGGAGATTATGTTGGAAAAAAAACACGTTGGACCTAATCATGAGAAATCTGAAGACACCATTCACAAGTCTTTCTTTCAACAAAGAAAGCTGGGTGATTATTCTTACACCTCCATAGAGAACCTGTCACAAACAAGAACTAAACGGCATTCATTAAGGCGCCAAGTACTTTTCACTCTCAGATCCACTATTCCTGTAAGAGGAGAATTTTCGAAGAATCTAATTAAATGGTCTGAAAGCACCGGCAGTTTCAGTACAATGGTTAAAAAGGATCTTTTTAGTCCGATGGTTCACAGCACTGTTCTGTGTGTGGGCTCCATATGGAGGTGTGTATATGTGTGTGTGTTTCAGCGTGTGTGTCCCTACCAAACAGACGCAGTAGGTGGGGGGCTCCGTACACCTGGGACATGGGCGTGTCCGGGTGTTCAGCCAGCATCTCTGCGTACTGCGGCCTCTCAAACTTGTACAGCAGCTGAGTTCCCAGCATGACGTTAAAGTACTCCCGTATCCCTGCCACCACTTCGTTTACTGCATACTCCCTGAGTGGGGGGGAGAGAAAGAGGTCACATATTTCTCCAAAGAGTTTCCATGGAGATGTAAGAGATTGCAGCTTTAAGGAGCACATTGTACATTGGTACAAATTTGAAAAAATGTCTTATAGGAACAGCAGAAAAAGCAGACATAATGTAAAGGCATGTGTAATGAGCTGTAAATGGAGACGTGGAACTTCCGTTGAGTTCAGTTATAGACATACTTTCAAATTCAGCAGGAGGTGTTCTTTGTACAATAGCTGCACTAAGTGGCAGCATGCTGGTTAAATTGCACAGTATTTTATTCAAGCTTAACATTATTCTTCCCACATTGCAGGATAAAAATAGGGACACTGCAAGAACTGTAACTGAACAGGTGGAAACAAAGCGCTGTACACATGAAGTGACGCCTAACCCATTATCTTCAACATTTCTACAAAAGTTATGGTGGTTATTCTTACTTATTGTCAGAGTTTCCTTTAGATTTCTTGTAGTTTGCATAGTCCTCCAAGACAGTCTCTATATTCTTCTTAGCAGGCAGATGAAATAACTGTAAGCAACAGAAAAGCTTTATTTAGACAGCAAAACGTACAAATATCACTGTTCCTCCCTTTATTTCAGCAGTGGTGAACCGTCAGGGCCTTCAAGGTATTCAGAGAATACCCTGGAACACTCAGATAAAACAAACAAAACATCGATTTAATTATATCAATAAAATGTAATAAAATGTATGTAAAATGAATAAATGAGAATCGTATCTGTGTTGTTGATCTGTAACATTACAGTGTTATGTTTGTTTGTCTTTCTCGGTCCATGCACTACGCATTTCAGTGGTTTTGTGTTCGAAAAGAAAAGCAACCAATCAGATATGTTTCTGGGTCTCTGGGTAGAATATCCTTCAACCAAGGTATTCTATATCCTTGATAGAATACCCTGGCCGTTGCACTGAATGAGAGCGTACCTTTGGATTGACAGTTTGATCAACCTATCATATATTGATTTGTAGCCAATGGGCGTATTCTTTCAGAGTTTCACTCGGTTCCAGGGTATTCAAGAAGGCCCGGTAGTTCACTGGCTCGAGACAGAGGATCTAGATGAATGCCACGAAGCAATTCATGCCGTTTTATTGTTTTTAACGTTGAAATGGCAAGTGCAACAGGTGAAGATGATGTTGTTGCGGAATTGTTGTCAGTACCCTTTTCAAGACGACAATTCAGTGAAAAGACGGGCATTATAACGGCGGGGGGTGTGTGTCTACAGAAGGGGGTCCAGTTGTCGTCACTGCATTTCAGACATAAGTGTTCCCACATATTCTCTAATAAATAGAGACATTTTCATGGCTGTGCTACTTTATACATGACTTAGGTTGCAAATCAACCACCTTTTGCAGAAGCGTTATCATGGCATGTTCTGGACAGTATTGGCAATAATCTGGCGAGACCTATCATGATTGTAGGAGCCATTTTATGGGTGTTGTTGGTGTCTCAGTTTATCTAATTTATATGTATAGTGCAATATTATTTTGAACACTTGGTGGCGGGGTTTAGCTGCGCCGGGTGTATAAAAGGGGTCATAGGTGACAGGAGAGGACAAGGACACAGGAGGAAGAGCATACCGATTCTACCAGCCCGGCCAGCCCCGGCAGATGCTCATACCACAACTATTGACACAGTGTACTTAAACCTTGGTATGTAAAGCAATAAAACATCATTCTAAACTGCAGCAAAAGACCGGAAATTCATCTGTTTGTGTCTGCGTCAGGATCACTCTAAACCCTCCTGTGAAGTAATGGCAAAAGGATACATTGACATTGGAACATTAAAATTGCCATTACAATGATAGAGGGGTCACTATAATATAATAAATGCAATCAAAACAGCGTGATCTGCGCTCGCATGCATCACAGTCCCTCAAACATCCAACAGCATGGCACTAGTTGTGAAATCTAAAGCACTATTTTCTGTACCTGTTTCTGTCGTGTGATGAGGTCCCAGTCGTCCACTAGCCAGGGCTTCAGCTCTTCAGGGATCTTCACCTTCACCTCCACACGGTTGGTGAACATTTCCTCCTGGACACACAATGTGGATTTTCTTTAATGGGTGTTTAGGAGCAGGAGAACATTTCACACAATCGGCAAAGTGGAAGTCCCACAACTAATGTTCCAGTTTTCTAATGTTGAATTTAAAAGGTCTGAAAGTAATTCAGCAGATCGCCACTTCATTTTACAAGTGAAAAAGTCATTTACGGTTTATCTATAGTCTCAATGATCCAAAGAGCTCCTTAAGGGGAGACACTAGAGGCAAATACATTATCTTTTATTCTTATCTTTTGGGCTATTTGCTTGCATACTTTTTTTTTCTTTTAGGCTAGGGGAAACAAAAAAACTAAAGATACACATTTATGTATTTTATTCGCTTTTCTATTTGTGTAAAATGTATAAAAGATTCACCAAAAGTTAGCATCGCATAATGCCAAATGTGCATATTTAAATATACACATTTTCAAAACTTATAATATAAAAAAGATTCTCTTAATGTAATTATTTAACTGTAGAAATGTATAGGTTTGTCTCTAATAGTTAATAAAGTGAACCTATT